GTGTTTGCTGAGATATGGGAAGTGATCTACATACTCCAGAGCCTCCCGGTCTATGTAGATAGCGCAAGGGATGTTCAGCTGGGCTGGGGAGGGTTGGTGGAGAACCTTTGTCTTAGCAATGTTCAAGGACAGGCCAAGTGTCTTATGAAGCACTGAAGAGATCTAGGGTCATTTGCACATCCTGTGCAGAGTGAGCCATCACGCAGCAATCATCTGCAAACTGAAGGTTGTGGATGTCCTTGTAGTGAGTTTTTTGTTTTTTCCCAGAAGCACCTAAGATTGAAAAGCTTCCTGTCCAGTTGATAGTGGATACTGATGCTGGATAGTAGATCATCTCAGATGAGGTGGATGATGACTGTCAGGTAGATGGTGAACAGGGTGGGGGTGATCACACAACTTTGTTTGACCCCAGTCCGGGTGTGGAAGGTGTGTAATGATGGATATGCAAACTGGGGCACCAGCCCTAGGTGCCCACTTAGGTGCATAAAGGGCAGCTGCTGCAGTTGGTTCAGCCCTGGCTGTGATCTACCATCATAGCCACCAAGGTGAAGACCCTGGGTTTTATATCACTGGTGATGCTCCTTTTTTTTTTTTTCTTTCCCCTACCCTTGGCCTGTTGCCTGGATAGAATAGAAGCATTTCAGGACTCTTCTGTGTGTGTGTATGCATGTGTCTCTCTAGTATGGTACATCTCCATTTCCACTGTCTTGTAGGCAGCACTATGGAAATACAAATAAGAAACATTCTCCTTTTACTTTTCTTTTTGTTTTGTTTTGTCTTGGTGTCTTCTCTGTCTCCACGCCAAGCTACACGCCTGGTTTCCTGCTGTGAAAAATGAGTAAAATTGCAACAACCCCATGTGCAATAGACCCAAAAGGCTGTAAATTTACTTGAGTGATCTCATGCACAGCTACCGTGCTTTGGAATGAGGATTTGAGCTAATCATAGACTGAAAGGCTGAACAAAATGCAGCTTTGAACATTTCCTTTATACTAAGCACATTGTGGCAGTGCTTAAGAATATGCACAAGGATTAACATCTCTGTTCTAATGCGTCAAGTACAAGGGACTGAACTAGAAAGCAGAATGTGAATGGTCTCTCTAGACAATGTTTAGTTACAGGTATTTGAAGTGGTATTCACTGGCTCTGTTTTTCTTTTTTTTTTCTCCCAACAGATTTTACAATCTTGAAGTCTCTGGCACTTGATCACTTTAATTCCAGATATTTCTGGCTAGGAATGGTGCAAAGGACCATGAGGACAAACCTATAGTGTTCAGAGTATTAATCTGATCGATCTATCAATCGCTTTATCTATAATATTTTTTTACTGTGGAATTTGAGCCATCTGAGAGAGATTCTTTCTCTGTACATCATACTTTCTGTGGATCCCAAAAAGTGATGAAAGCCTAATGGATTATTAACATGTGTGTTCTGTTTTAAACCAACCAACCAGATAAGTGCACTTGTTAAGTTCTTAGCAATGATTTTTTTTTTGAATTACACATGTTCAAAGTGACAACTATGATTTTGTGACTCTTTGACCAATCGCATGTTTTAACATCTTCTGCAATTGCTCCATGGTTCTGCTTTCAGCTACATGACAGAGAGCTCTTTTTAAATTAGCTAGATACAGAATAAGACCATTTGCTTAATAACATCAGCTCAGGAGTCTTGGGGGTTCTTTCCCAAACCCTCCAGTTTGAGGGAGGAGACTCTCTAGGGTCATGAATTTCCTTCTGATAGCCAAAGAAGAGGATCAAGAAAATAACTATTCAATCCTGGCCTCTTAGCTTTGGTTTCTCAGATGATTTCCAGTCTGGATGCATTCAAGCTGCTCCTAAACTTAGTTGTAATAAATTAGGTAAGTTAAGTCTTCCCAAAAATATGGGTCCAGTGTACTACTAACTAGCTCAAGCAAATGTGAAATCTTTAGCTGAGGAGAAGGGCCAGTGGTGAGAGCACTAGAGTTAGGTTTGCAATCATAAAGGTACAGGTAAATACTGAAGAAGCTGTGCTCTTTCTGGGCCGCCATCCCAGCAAGAAATGATGATGTTCTTGTTATCTTGGGGCTGGTATAAGGAAAAGAGGAGAGACAGATTTCTGGCCCTCCCATGCTGATCAGGGGAGAGTCCAGAGGAAGCCTCCCTACATGAGTTACCTCCCTGAGGTCACTTGGTCCCTTGGTCTGCAGTCCTGATCTTGATGCTCCAAATACCACAGGAATTATGCCCCCTCTGTATTAGTTACATGGGGGAGGCGCCTGCCTACTTAGCAGGATGTTTATAATGCTTCTTAAGGCTTCAACTAGAACGTGTGCCCACATGTGCGTGCATAGCTTTAAGTGCTAGTGCATACACATCCAGATATCAAGCAGATGCCACTTTTAAATCACTTGTGTCATCCTGGGTTATAAAAGTGTGCTTGTGTAAAATTAATCTGCTAAACATTGACTTGAGAGTAGAGCATTTAGGTGGAAGAAGGGTTAACAAATATGTGCCATTTAATCAGTGGTAATCTTGAGGGGCCTAGCCAGTACCTGAAAGGGTTGGGGAACAGCCTTTCCTCTGTAAAATCTTGGGAGTGGTGTTTTGCAAGTCAGTCACACTCCAAACAACCTCATGATTCTGAATCTTGCTTGCATTCTTGTGTTGATCTGCTTAATGAAAACACTAATTGATTTTGATTCCTATTGTAACCATGATTTGATAACTGCGGTGTTCATTTTAGTTGGTGTAATTAGTTTTAGCTAGGATTGTAATTGGCCTTAAATTTTGTTTGCCAATTCAGTTGCAGTAAATCCCATAAACAGTGTGCATAACTTTTTTATTTATTCAGTTTTTTTAAGATAGTCACAAAGGGTCCACTGCCCTAGAAAGCTAGAGGAAACCTGAATAAAGCATTTGAATGCGTCTTGGTCTCCAAATTTCTATTCATGACCACAACAGTAATGGGTATAAAATTGCACTGAGAAATAAATGGCAAAAAATAAAGATCCCTTAAACTAGCATCAAATGCAAGGTCTTTTTCTTTATATTTTTGGTCAAAGGAGGGTCACAATCAGTGATAAGCCAAATTTTATAAACTGCTTCCCAAATTTCTAAGGGTTTGATGAATATGATTTCAGTATTCAGATGGATCTACATTTTGCAGGTGGAGGCTTCTTCCACTCAAAGTATAATTAATAACAATCAGAAAAGAAGTTAGTCTGTTGAAAGCCTAGTTTTAATTAATTGTTAAAAAGAAAAAGGTGGGAGCTTAATTTCATCTTCTTTCCTGCCCTCAACAGGGCTGTACTGAATATTTTTATACCAAATATTTAGTAAACCAGCCATTTAGTACTCTTCTGCATTAAAAAGAAAAAGTTCTTCAGGCCAAGATTTTCAAGGATGGCTGGTAATATTGCGTTAGGCCTTGATTTTTTTTTAAGGTGCACAACAGGAAATATCTTTAAAAGGCTTGACTTTTAAAGGGTGTGTAGTTAGCTTGTGTAAAAATGTGGGTCCCAGTAAGGCAATTAAGGCTGGTTGCATCTACAGTTTGCATCTCCAAAGTCATCGGAGAGGTTTGCAAATCTTGTTGTGCATCCAGCAGTTGCAAAGAACAGTCAACCAACCAGCTCTATTCCCAAAACTGATGTGAGAGATAATAGGGGTATATCATGTACATCTAGAGTGTGTTTAGTCAAAGGCACCCTATGGGTAAGAAGTGTCGACTCAGCAGATTTTGATGATTATTGTAAGACCTCTTTAATAGTTGTCCCCCCAAAAAAACTCCACAAAACCTTGTCTTTTCTCTTCTACCACAGGTAAGCACTGTTGGCAGTGAGATTGGGAAGGGCCCTTAAGGTAGCTTGAGTCACAACTTCATCTTCAAGAATCCTATCCCCTTCCCTAGAATTGGAGAGACCATGGGAAAAGCCAAGAAAGAAGAGGAGGCTGTGTTCTTGAGGAAAAAGATCACTCTGCTGAGAGCTTTTTCACTCCTTATTGGCAGCATGGTGGGCAGTGGCATCTTTATCTCCCCAAAAGGGGTGTTGAGAAACACTGGCAACGTGGGTCTCTCCTTGATTGTCTGGTTTGCCTGTGGGATTCTCTCTCTGTTTGGTGGGTGATGAGTTTTTCTTTAGTCTTCCTTGTAATTTTTTGGTAGATGGGGAAACTAACAAAACTTTTTCATCCCAGCATTTGATGAAGTAAATTGCTGCCTGATAGCTCATGCCTCTCTGAACCCAGTTAGTCTCTAAGGTGTCATCTTTGCTTTACCTTCTCTCTAGCAAATAATTTATATCTGTGATAAAGGCCTTGCTTTGCTTCTCAGGGCAAGATAAGGTGGGAACACCAGTATACAAAAATAAATCCTGTCATCTTGGTGCCAGAGAACTGAAGGTCCAACATCTGTGCAGTTCTAGGGATTGCTTGTTCAGTTGGATTGACGGTGGGAACTGAGGGGTAACTCACGGCTTCAGACCTTTTAATGTGGAGCCATGTGTGGGCTGAGACATGGGAATTGTTCTACTGAAGACCCTAGAGGTAGGGGTGCAGTTGTGCTCTGTGTTTATTTCCTCATGTGACTTCCAAGTTTTTCCACCTTTCAGAGCTTAACAAAACCAAACCAAACTAAAATAAAACAATTAAACCGGGACAATTCCGTGTGAAAACAGATTCTTGTTGTAATGCTGTTGAAAGTTTTAAAAAGCACAGGCAACAGAAAGGCCATCTTATGTCATCTACTGTGTATAACTTTAAATTACTGGATCTGCTGTAAAACAACCATATTATGTTCATAGAATGTGACTAGTTTGAAGCTGTAGAAAAAGTAACTTTGGATTTTTGTATTGTTATAGAAATTAAATTTTACACCTCTGTGAGGTTTTTTTTCCTTTGCATTTCCCCCCTCCCCCCCCAACTCATTCATATTTTATCTCAGTCTGTCCGTTAGTAATTTCTGTTCACTTAATGTAGTCCTCTTAGTTAGCTAGCTCACAAGAACAGATGAGAAGCAAGGATTTTTCATTACATCTTTTATTGGAGCACCTGTATGGCTGGGGGAGTTGTTGGGCAAGTTTCTGGATGTCAAGTGCCCTTCCTTTGAACTGACAGAGATGCAGGCAACAGCATTGGTGAATGGTCATGCATTGAATCTTATGAAACTTCTCAAAGGTGATTTCTCCTTTAGAAGCTATATTAGCAACAAGTCTGGGGTACTCGGGTCAAGAGTCATGCTGCTTTATTAAATATTGTTTAATCTAATCTTTTTGCTCATGGATGAAATTCACCTACATTATACAACAAGAATTTCCTTTGAGAGAGCCCTCTTTGTGCAGGCTAGTTGTAGCTCTGTTTACTCCCCATCTAGCCTCAGATGGGAATGGTTAAGCTCTGCGGTGCCACACATTTTTATAATTTTTTTCTCTTTTTACACATTTTGAAGTGAGATTTGTATGTGGTGAAGCCTAGAGCTAGGTAAATAGTGGAAAAGAAAAACTCTGTAGGCAAGTCCAAATGTCCTCCAACATGCTTTTTAAAATTAATTCCACCGAGAAATTTTATATCATTTAAACCAACCAGCGTGTCTAAGCAAAATAAAGCACTCTTGGTTGAAACCAGCATTATTATTTCTTTTTTTATAAGTGAATTTTCAGGAAAACTAGTAATTAAAATCTTGGGGAAATTCCATAGGACAGTTTAAACACTTCTCTACCTGAATTTTTCCAGGTGCCTTGTGTTATGCAGAACTTGGAACAAGAATCACCAAGTCTGGAGGACATTACATCTATATTCTGGAGACACTGGGACCTTTGCCAAGTTTTTTATTTCTTTGGGCTGAGTACTTTGCTATCAGGTAAGATTTGTTGTTTGCTACCTGCAGGGAGGTATTGGAAGTCATCGGCTTATACACTTAAAATGCACAAAGTGAGAAAGTACTGAAGCTACTTTCAGTCTTGCAGTAATAAAAGGCAGAAGGCAATATGCACATTATATTTGCATGGGAAAACAACCCTTTTCTTTCAACTATTTTAGTACCCTTATTTTATTATCTTGGTAGTGAGATAGTAATGAAGAATAGCTGCTAATTTTATTTTAAATCCTCCATTTCTGACACTTTTGAACTTCCTCAGTTTCTTGTGTGCTGAAAATGCTTTGGATTTGGTCCATCCTAGAAATAAATACAGTTTTAGAAAGTAGGAAATGTTGCTTTCATTCATATTTTTGTTGTGACTAAAATGAGATCAGTTTTAACATTTTTCTGAATCTGTTTCTCCTTCTAGGCCAGCGAACAGTGCAGTGGTTTCTTTGGCATTTGGACGCTATATATTGGAGCCATTTTTTGCACCTTGTGCAGCTCCTCTTCCTGCGGTGAAGCTTGTGGCTCTTCTGGGGTACTGTAAGTATAAATCAAGATTGAGCCCAAATCATAATATTTGAGTTCATGTTTTGGACTCTTCCCCTGTAACTCATAGGTGCCTTACATCTAATATTTGGGCTCATCACATTATAAAGAAGACTATGGAATTTGCATTCTGTTTTAAATTCTAAGCCACCCAAAGAGCTTAGGGTAGCTTTTTTGCATCCAGGTTTCTGGCTTGGGTACGTCTTATCTGTAAAGGTTTGCTGAATAAACCTGGTGAATAGGTCTCTAGATGGTGGAGCTGGCTCAGAAGTAGAAGTAGTTGCAGACTGAGCACAGGTATCAGATTAACAGGAAAATGAAAGCTGTGTGATTTTTGTCAAGGAGTTTTAAGCCTTCTTTTTACTTGTGATTCAGTGTTGCCAAGGAGTTCTGTAAGGATGGGGTCATACTGGAAGACAGGCACTGGAAAAATCTGGACCATGCATTCTGTTGCTGGGAACAGATATTGTGCATATGGGTCAATAAGCTCCATCAAACTTACAGGCATGCGATTCAGAGTTATCCATGTCAATTAATTAGTTCAGTGGATAGGTAGAAGCTTCTATACTTCCTGAGTTGTAGTAGACTAACTTGAAGATTGTGGTGAGGCAGAGAAGTTGAGATGAAAAGTGCAGTGGTGGATTATTCCAGCAGTTAGGCACAGATAACATAGCAGGCATTGTGAGGGGAAACTAACCAAATTGTGCTCCACTCTCAAGCCTGTAACCTCTGCTTCCTTTTCAAATGTTATACTTCTGGTCATTATTATTATAATAATAATAATAATAATAATAATAATAAAAAAAAACACCTGTCACTGAAAATTCTTCCCAGGACAAGGAGTGTTGCTGTGTCTGTATTCGGTATGCTCATGAAAATAGATGGTGGCAGTGGGGAAAAATATGAGAATAACGTTCTTTGTTTAGAGTCCCAGCTATGCATGCAATTCATTGGCTTGTCCTTCTCTTCCTTCAGATATAGTCCTTATCCTGAACTCTTGGAGTGTCAGCTGGAGTGCCCGGCTTCAGACTTTCCTGTCTGTCATCAAGCTTGCGGCTCTCGCGCTCATCATTGTGCCAGGGATGATGCTTCTGGCTCAGGGTATGCCAGCTCAGCTGTGATCTTGAGGGCAGCATTCATTATGGTGGTGGTTCTCACCCTTTTGAGACTCAAGGTACACCTTGGAAAATGCCAGCTTTTTAGCTTTCACTCATGTTTTGACTATAGAAAAATAATAGTGCAATTCTTCTGTTGCAAAGAACTCAGAAAGACCACAACAAGTCAGAATGTTTTTGACATGGTTTTTGACACCTATTTGAAATCTCTGGTTTATCTTGTGAATCATGTTTGCACGTAACAGTGTTAACATTGTATGGCACCCTAGAGCGATGCAGCACTCTGGCTGAGAATCACTGTAGGACTTGTCTACGCAATTTAAGCTAAGCCACAAATGTTCCACATATACCTACACCAATATAGGAATGCCCAAATCAGTAGTCATACCAATGTATATGTTTAAATACGCACCTTAGCTTATACTGATCCAACTTTCCCATATGAACAAGCCATGGTGTTCACACTCAAGGGATAATCAGCATTCTTTGTCCTTATGCTGTATCTTCCAGTGAAGAGAAAACAACAAAGGCATCAAGATGAACACTTATATTTCTGTCTCATGTCTGGACCTGTTTTCTCCGAACATGAAAAAATCCTTCAAGCTGGCAACATTTCTGAAATGAGGGGTTGTTCTGCAGGCAGAAATCCTCAGCCATTATTGCTCATAACACCTTCAAATGACAATCTGGAGCCCCTGGCACTATCCCCTCGGTAGGAGAAGCAGTGCCAGTGACATCTGGGAAGAGAAGTTGCTAAAAGCTCCAGGAATTACAGGTTGCACTTAATATGACTCTAGAGGATTGTAAAAATCACTCATTAAGATATCACCACCAATAAATCCTTTGTATGCACCAACATCTTAGAATGCCACAACAGGGGCCAACGTCACTTTCTGTTCAGTTTTCTTCAGATGAAGCTTCCTTTCCGATTTGATTCTTATTTTCATAAGTTTCCTTTTATTTCCTTTTACGGGTGATATTTGTTTACGTCCTTCTCTTGCATTTTCTTTTCCCCTTTTACTGTTTTACTTCAATTATTTTACTTTCAGAAGCACTTGGGCCAGTATTTGCAAACTTGAGTGCCTACAGTTAGCCTGTGAACTCCAGAATTAGATTTCCAGGAGCAACGATTTTTTTGTAATACCTTTTGTTGGACCAGCTGTATAGTTGAGAGAGCTGTTGGGCAACAGAGGTGTAACTTGAAGTTTTGGCTCCTGGGCTGGCACTGGGGGAAGGAGCACTTGCCTCCTCATGCAGCCTGTAATAGCAGTGGTGTTGGTGTCATGGGCTGCAGCTTTCTTGGCTCAAACTTTTCCAACATGGGCTGCAGTGGCAGCACAGGCTTCCTGCGGGCTGCCTTTCTGATGCCCTCTTTGAACTGACACCTGGGGATGGTGCCCTGGTTGCCCTGCTCCATGTTGTTATGCCACTGTTGGACAAGCTTTGGGCATTGACTACTCTTCCTCGGGTCTAAAAGGCAGACACAGGGTGAGCTCGAGGTCAGAAAAAAGGCTCCATGTAAAAGCAGTTTGCTTGGAGAGAATAATTTCCAGGGGAAGTAGGCTTTTGTCCTGGTCTAAGATTATTACTGCAGCTACTACAATATAAATATAGGTGTAGGTGATTCACTATATAGGCTGCCAAAGCTTGTAAATGTTGGGACTTATTTTCTTTAATTTTTTAATTCTTTTTTCCCTATATTGCTCCTCTTCCTTGGAGCTGGAACCATTCATCTGTCTCCCTCTCCTTCCTAGATTTTGTGGGGTTTGATAAAATGTGACCTGCATTCAAACCCTTTCTGAGTGTGGTTTTCATCAACAAGAAAGGGTTCATTATCCTTTCTTTCCTCCTCTTTTCCTTCATTTCTGTTGGAAATAAAGCAAGACCCGCATTGACAGTACTGTTTTCATTTGCTTCCTTTCGAAAATGGTGGGATCTGATAAAATGAGCCAGTTTTTTATTTTTACCTGTGTGAGTCCTTGGTCTCTTTAGTTTTCTCTCCCAACAATCAGCAGAGTGATAGTGGGAGGGGGAGGCAGGGACAGATCCTCTCCAGAAGCAGCTGCAAAGGAGAACTGGCTCTGCTTTTTCTTGTGCTCCCTCCTAAAGTTCATCTCTTTTTCTTTGTTCCCATGTTTTGTACCACAGGGAGCATGGGTCAATGCTTATATGGAGGAATGGGGAGTAGCACAGCAAGCTGCCTCGTTGACTGCATGACAGTTGTTAGCTGCCTCATTGACTGCATGACATTAAAATAAAGTGCAAATCTAGCTGTGTGGGGTCCAGTGATGAGAGAGTTCAGGCCAGGAAATGTTATGTCAGTTCTGGGAGGAGGTTTTCTGCAAGTGGAGAATAGGCCAGCTGGGGCCTCCACAGCACCAGGATATGTGTGAGAGAGAACCAGTCCTTGTTACTGTCCTTTAAAAACCTGCCCTGCAGATTATTGGCTCACATAACCTCAGGTACTGCCCAGAACCAGATGAGTCAACACAGCTAAGAACTAACCTAGGAAGGCAAATCCAAACAGGCTGGAAGATGCTACCATCACAGTCTCTAGGGTTGTCTGAGGCAGAGAAACTGAACCTTGTTCATATGTTTATCTGACCACTAGAGATAGTATCTCTGTTGCCATTGCCCTGTAACTCTCTGCTAATCTCCTATTTAGGCCACACTGAAAATTTCCAGGATGCTTTCAACAGTCAATCACTGGCTTTGGACAAGCTGCCCTTGGCTTTTTATGCAGGGATGTTTGCGTATTCGGGCTGGTAGGTATGGTCAGGGTCCTATAAAAGAAGAAACACTTTTAAAGGTGCTCTTGGCCCATTGTTCAGACTCTTCCATAACCTGTCTGCTTTCACTCTGCAGGTTTCAGGCTAGCTTTGTGCGGGAAGAACTTGTCCGACCTGAACGGTAAGATTAGGGGGACATCCTGTCAGAGAAGCTACTGGTGATGCACTTATTTCACAATAAGCTACAAATTTATATGGGAAGAGCAAATGACTGCTGGTTCTTCTCACTGCTGATAGTGGCATCTGCTACCTGTAGTAATGATGCGAGTGAAAAGAAGATAACAGCTCTGCTTATTATCTCTCTCTCTCCTCCCTCCGCCCCCCACTTTTTTTTTAGAAATATCCCGCTGGCAGTGATCGTGTCTGTGATTACTGTAATTGTAGGATATATGTTCACCAATGTTTCCTATTATACAGTCCTGACAGCAGAGGATGTCCTGGCCTCCCAGGCTGTGGCTGTAGTGAGTAATATCCCATTATTATTTTCCTTCAAAGGGATCAATTTACTCTAAATGGATGGAAGTAGGGATGAATCTAGGAAATGGTTTTTGTAGCAGAGAGGCCATCAGCGCTGTTACTTCTCTGAAGTATCAGGAACTTATAATATCTTGCAGTCTTGCTGCAGGAAGTGAGGAAAGAACTAGAGACCAAGATGTCAGTGGGAGAAGGGAGACGAAGCTTGGGATTACCCGATGTTGCATTTTCCAGCTTCCCAGTAGACATGCATCTAGCTATTTACATTAAGTCAGATATTGTGTAGGGGTTAGCACAGTGTTTCTGAAGCCAAATATGTTTTCCCTTTAGGGTTTTGCACAACATGCTTTCCAAAGACTTATCTCGGTGGTTCCCATCCTGGTTGCTTTGTCCTGCTTTGGCACCATGAACGGAGCGATCTTTACGTTTTCCAGGTCAGACTCTTGTGATTATTTTTGAAAATTGTACTTATTGATCTGCTATATAAGCAAGAAGAGGGAGACCCTTAGTAACAAATCTGTTGACTGCTCACAGGTAGGTACAGGCAATGTTTCCAGAAGATTCAAGCTATCAGTTCCAAAAAATGAAAACCTCTACTGCTTTCAGCTGGAGGCAAATCTCCTGGCAAGTCGTTTTTGTCTTTTGTAGTTGCCAGTATAGGATGATGGTACCAGAGCTGTTGTCAGCCTCTGTTTTACTGCTTGGATGGTACGGGACAAATCAATGGATATGAAAGGCAGGCTTCATAATATAAGTCATCCTGAATTGTTCATTGCAGTAGGCTGAAGTAAAAGAAACAGTATGGGAAATATTCCCTTGTAGGATTTAACTATGCAGGGATTTCCTCTTGAGGTAAGAGGAGTCCCTAGATGGACAGAGATACTCCATGGCTCCTTTCTCATAGTATTCAGCAAAATGGACAGGGATAGGCTGCTCTACATATATTTCACTGTTGGCCAAACTGGCTGCTGGCCAGCCACACATTAGGGAACCACAAAGGCAACAAAGAGCCAGCTTTACACACAACCCAGCTGCTCTGGGCACTGCTCCAAGCCAGCTGAAGATCTGGCACTGTATGTACAGATTTAAAATAAATAGATGTGGGAATTACTCTTCGTTACTAATTTGTTTCAGAGAAGGGAGGGAAGGTGAGAGCTCTCTAGTGTTGCTTTTCTATAAGTAGCAGACATCTCGCAGGTACCCAAATCTAGGATTCTTAACTTCTGGTGAGAGTCGTGAGAGTCTGTTATGCTGGAGCAATTCCAGTTTCCCCTGTGTATCCAGTGCTGTGGTGTGGGACCTTTTATAGGAATATAGGGCTAGAAGGGGCTTCTGGAGATGCTGAGTCTTTCTGCTGCTGCAGGTGCCATGTCATATAGTCTGTTTCCTGAAGCAATCAAGCTCTGTTCGAAAAGTAATTAGACTTTTTGACCCCACTACATCTATTAGAAGGTGTCCAAGATCTCTTAGCTTTGCTTAGAAACTTCTTGATTTTTTTCTTTTCCAGCCAACCTGGCCAGTTGAAACTTCTTGGCTGTCTGTGCACAGTTGCACTCGACACCTCTACGGGTGCGGGGTGTGCAATTGTTTTGGATTGCTGGTTCTTGTTTCTGGCTCTCCATGAGCAGTGCCAGATTTAGTCCAAATGCTTTGCCACAGGTACCTTGAGATAATTTTCTGCTGCAATTTTTGAAAAATGGTCTTGCTGAATGACCTGTGAACATAGTGCTTATTGTGGCCTACAGGATGAGAAATAGACTGTGAAGTGTTGCCATTTCTTGGGCATGTTTGGGAATTTTTCAGAGAATTTTGGGCACTTGATCTTTTTATTTTTCAGAATCTCAGAGAAGCTATTGCTTCAGGGACCAAAATGCAAGAGTTGACCTGGGGCAGAACCCAATAGAGCATGATGTAGGGACTTCCCAAAACCAGGATTTTGCAGATTTGGTAGAAATCATAAAATCCGGCATTGCCTGCAAAGTATGCGGGGGGGAGGTGCAGGGAGATAAAAAGAAAACTAACTGAAAAGAAAATGCTGGCTCTCCAGAAGGAGCCAGTGATCTTCATGGTGCTCTGGCCTAGCTGTGCAGCCTGCCGGGGGCTGCCCATATGAAGAGCAGCCCAAGATGGCTGCTGCCCCACCCCTCATCACAGATTGACTGAAGAGGCTGCCTGTAATGTGACCTTGCCCCTCTCCACCAAGCATATGCAAGGGGTGGGACCCCATGACAGACAGCCCTTGCAACCAATCAATGGCAAGGGATGGAGCTGTATGACAGCCCTTGCAGCTAATCAGTGGAGAGGGGCAGGGCCATTCGGGCCCCTTGACCAATCAGAAGTGTGGGGGTCCCTGCTGTGATCAGCCTGTGTAAATGGCAGTCAGCTCTGCAATCTCCCTATGACACTGGCCATCTGCCTTCTCAGGCCAGGTAGACCCCTCAGCACGATCAGTGTGGACAGCCTTCATGGGTGGTGTCTATTCCAGCTATAGCATTTCATAACTTTTTAGGGGCGGTAGGGACCTCAGTAGGTCGAGTCCGACCTCCTGCCCTGGGCAGGAAAGAGCACTGGGGTCAGATGACTCCAGCCAGGTGCTTGTCCAGTCTCCTCTTAAAGACCTCCAAAGCAGGGGAGAGCACCACCTCCCTTGGAAGCCCAATCCAGATTTTGGCAACCCTCACTGCAAAGAAATATTTCCTAAAGTCTAATCTAAATCTGTTGTCCATCAGTTGATGGCCGTTGTTCCTAGTAACCCCAACGAGTGCCCTGGTAAACAGAGTATCCCCTATTCCTTGCTGTGCCTCCCCCCCCCCCCCCCCCCCCCCCGATGAATTTGTAGATGGCCACAAGTTCCCTTCTCAGCCTTCTTTTGTGGAGGCTGAACAGATTCAGGTCCCTTAATCTCTCCTTGTAGGATCTCACCTGCAGGCCTTTAACCATACAAGTAGCCCTCCTCTGAACTCTCTCAAGAGTATCCGCATCCCTCTTGAAGTACAGTGCCAAGAACTAGACGCAGTCTCCAGCTGCAGTCTTACCAATGCCACATACAGGGGAAGTATCACCTCCTTAGACCTGTTCATGATGCACCTTCTAATGCATGAAAGTGCTGTTGGCTTTACTTACCACGTCATTACATTGACATCTCACGTTCATTTTGGAGTTGACTGACTCTGAGATCCCTTTCTGCTGCTGTGCTGCTTAGAAAGTCACCTCCCAGTCTGTAGGTGTGTTGGTGATTCTTTCTCTCTAGATGCAGTGCTTTGCACTTACTTTTGTTAAACTGCATCCTATTCTGTTCTGCCCACTTTCCCAACCTGTTCAAATCCACCTGAATCTGCTCCCTGCCTTCCAGTGGCTTTACTTGCCCCATAATTTGGTGTCATCTGTGAATTTGGACAGAGTGCTTTTCACACCTTCATCCAAGTCACTGATGCAGATACGGAACAGTACTGGTCCAAGGACTGAACCTTGGGGAACTCCGCTGCCCACATTTTTTCAGGTTGAAAATGACCTGTCTACGACCACCCTCTGAGTGTGTCCCATAAGCAAATTCTCCAGCCACCTGATCATGTAATAATCTGTCACAACTGCTTGATTTGATTTTATTTATAAGAATGGGATGTGACATTGTATCAAAGGCCTTTTTAAAATCCAAGTAGATGACATCTACCTCAACTCCTGCATCTAAGCTTTTTGTGACCTGGTCATAAAAAGGAACAAGGCGAGTCAGGCAGGATCTACCTGCTATGAAGCCATGCTGGTTGCCCTTCAGCATTATTTTTTCTACTGGACTTTCACAAATGTGATCCTTTTAATACTTCTTTCAAAGGTTTTCCCAAGGGCAGAGGTGAGGCTAACTGGCCTATAGTTACCCGAATCATCCTTCCTCCCCTTCTTGAAAATAGGGCCCACATTGGCCCTTTTCCAGTTCTCTGGGACCTGTCCTGAGTGCCATGCATGCTCAAACAGCCATGCCAGTGGTTCTGCTATGACACTGGCCAATTCCTTCAGCACCCTTTGAAGATCATCCAGGCCCGCTGACTTAAACATGTCTAGCCTCTCCAAATGCCCCTTCACTAGGTCAGTGCTAACTGTTGGTGGGTTGGAGTCCCTCTTGTGCCTGCCTATAGCCCCTTTGGGAGATGTCTTTTATCCATGTTCAGGAATACAGATGCAAAGAACTCATTTAGGACCTCAGCTTTGTCTCTCCTATCTGTTACCAGGTGCCCTAGTATGTCCTGTAAGGGTCCTAAGTTGCCATGTGCCTTCTTTTTAATCTCTCTGTACCTAAAGAAGGACTTTCTGTTGTCTTTAATTTTTGTTGCCAGCCTGAGTTACACTTCTGCTTTGGCCTTCCTATCTGATTCCCTGTAAGTGCGAGCCAAGGAGGTATACTCCTTGGTGGTTACCCCCTGCTTCCACAGTCTGTATGCCTCTCTTCCCACAACCCACCCTAGGCTCTCCTAGATTTCCCTGTTCAGCCAAGTGGGTTTCTTGGCTCTTTTGCCTCCCTTTATGTGCACCGGGATGGTCTCCTTTTGTGCCTAAAGGAGCATTCCCTTGAGGAATGCCCACCCTTCCTGGACTCCCATTTTACCAATGCTCTTGTCTTTCAGTGCCTTGCTTAGTAATCTCCTGAGCACATTGAAGTTAGCCTTTTTTGAACTCTAGCACTTCTGCCCTACTAGTTATCTTTCCCAGCTTTCACCAGATAGTGAATTCTAATAATCGGCGGTTGCTATCCCCTAGGTTACCCTGTATCTGCAGATCACTCACCAGGTCATCCCCTGTAGCAAGCACTAAGTCTAGTAAGGCATTTCCCATAGTGGGACCGTACATCTCCTGTGTTAGGTGAAGGTCCTGTATGCTGGTTAGGAATTAATGTGAACAGACAGATCTAGCTGACTGCTCCTCCCTGCAGATGTCAGGGTAGTTTAGGTCACCCATGACAACCATGTCCCTTGAGTGTACCGCCTTTTGAGAGCTACCTCGAATTCCATGTCTAGCTCATCATCCTGGTGTGACAGTGTGTAATAGACCCCTACTACCAAGCCCCTTTCACCCTGACCCCATTGTATTCTGACCCACAGTGCCTCAATTTGCCCCTCTTCTGAACCCATCTTGATTATTGAAGATGTGTATTGATCCTTAAGATAGAGAGCAATGCTCCCTCAACTCTTCCGTACTGTATCTCATCTGTACAGCCTATATCCCTCAATGCCTACTGCCCAATCATAGGTAGGGTCCCACCAGGTTTCTGTTAACTCAGCCAGGTCAAACTTTGTTTGCAAGCCTTCTGCTTGTTCCCCATGCTCCTAGCATTAGTATAGAGACGCCTAAGCCCCAAGATGGATGCCTGTCCAACTAATAGTGCCTCCATTCCCCAGTGTAGATGCGAGAGTCAGGTGCTCAGATTCTTGTGTTATTCCTTGTCTTTCTCCTAGGACACTGTTTGTGGCTTCCAGGGAGGGTCAGTGGCCTCCCCTCTTCTCGATGATCCACATTCGAAGACACACCCCTCTTCCAGCTGTTATGTTAATGGTGAGGTGAAGAGTTTTAAAAAATTGAATTTCTGCCATGCTGGCTTTCTTTTGGGCTTGAAGTGGTGGTTTTGATTGAACAGGCATTGAGGTAGTTTTAGGCCTTGGAAAACTTAGAACTGAGTATTGCAGAAAGCATTTTGCTGATATACACTCATTTAAAAAAAAAACTTGCATTGACTGCACATGGCAAAATATCAAGTCTACTTAGTGACAGACGTGGGATTTGAACTCAAGATCTCTTGGCTTCCAGCCCTAGGTTTAAAATGTCATTGCACAAGTGTTTTAAAACAGAGGTGTCAAACTCTTCTGGCCCTGCAGGCTGGATGAGGGTTGTTGGTCTGGTCTGTGGGCTGGATTGGGCCATGCCAGAGCTAACATGTAGGGCTGATCTACTGGGGGCCCCATGTGGCATGTGCTCTGTGCTGCTCCCCTGTCCAGTGTGCAATGTATGTGGCCAGTCCAGCCCTGAGTGCAGCACACACTAGCCCCAAGACTTGCTCTGCATGGTGTGCATGCTGTGTGGGGCACTCTGCCATACCTGCCCTGTGCACTGGCTCTGGGGCTGGTCCCGATTAGGCCCAGATCCAATGCGCGCAGTTGTGTGGTGGTGGGGTGCCCTGTGCTGTCCTCATGCAGCAAGTGCAGAGGGAGCCCCTCAGTGGGGCTGGCTCATGCTGAGTGTGGTGTGTGGGGCTGGCCTGGCCACGTGTGCAGCACAGGGGGCCTGATCCAGACCAGCCCCAGAGTCAGTGCACAGGCCAGTCCAGCACATGTACCACATACAGCGTGCTTCCTAGACCAACCTGCCATGCTGCATGCAGTGCCTGTGGTGCTGGATCCAGCCCTCGCACCAGATCAGTTCTGTGTATAGCTTGCAGGACCTGGGGTTGGTCCAAGACCCGTGAGCTGGATCATAGGGTGCCTCAGGCTGGATCTGGCGCACAGGCCGTATGTTTGACAGTCGTGCTTTAAAAGGATTGCTGTCACCGTCTTTAAAAAATCATCCTATAAAATTCTCTCTACCCTGGGTTCCAGATGCTTCTGTGTATAATGCATACCTCTTATCTGTTACAAACATGGAAATTTCAGGAGTTAGGAAAAATTGTGTGGAATGGTTTTTTTTTTATGTGGAAAATATTTCAACAGTTGTTTTTGTCTGATGATTGTTCATCATCTTTCTAATATCGTAGATAGTCGCCTTTGATTACATGGATGAAAACTTGTTGTCTTTGTATATAGCCTTCCACCCGATTCATTTGCATCCCAAAAGCTAAAATCCCAGCACTGAAATCATCCAATACTCTAAAGCTCTAGCTCCAGAGTATGGTAGTTTGACTGCAAATAGGAGTTTCTGGTTCTCAAGTTTTAAGTAGTCAAAGTCTGTGATACAGTTTTAATGAATGTGTTTCATTTCTACAATGGTCAGTTCCCTCTGGTTACTGCTATGGTGTGTGTTGGAGATATCTACCACCTACTGAACTTCTTCAGCTTTTCCCGATGGCTCTTCATAGGGCTAGCCACACTTGGGCTCATCATCCATCGCTACCGTCACCCTGAGCTGCCCAGGCCCTTCAAGGTAATTTGTGACAGATTTTAAGAAGCCAGAAGTGTTCAGGCTCACTGCTATTTAAAAGGGTTTCTCTTCAAATTATTCACTGAAAGCTAGAATGTCACATGACCTCAGTTCCATTTCATCTTGGGAAAGATTTCTATTCCTCTCACCTAGTAAGATGCAGGGGAACTCTTTGTCTGGCGAATATCCCACTAAAATGCCCAACTAACCTGGTTTTTACAGCTTAGGTAATAAAGAACTTTTGCCTGTGTATGTATGGACAGTCAATTTTTCAAGCAGGCAACATGCTCCAGCAAATAGAACAATACACTGGGAATCAGGAGATGGGATCAGAATAGATACTTTGCTCTGTCATGCACACTGGAAAGCTAGTGTCCAAATGCCTCTCATGGGGGGTTGCCCTTGGTTTTTTCTGTAAAATCTTACAGAAATGAGTACAATCATAATTGCTTCTATCAGGAGCGTAGCCAAAGCTTCCTCCTGAACTTGGCTTGACCTTAGGCTCCTGCTCTGCAAGGTCCCTTTTTCCTGGCTCCTCTCTTCTCTCCCTCCTCCTCCTGTGGGACACTCTACCTATGCTTATATCCCAACACATATGGCTGAACACTAAAAAACAGACCCAAATAGCCATCTCTCCTACTCACTCCATTTCAAACTTCAAGAAGTGGTTAAAAGCCTGAATTTGCACCAAAAAGAATGAAACAAAACTTTTAAGAAAATCCAGTATCATGAGAGAGCTATTTGGGTAGGTTTCAGTGTTCTCCTTCGTATCCACTGTAAGTTTGAGGAAGATTTTTCTGAAAGAGAATAAATGCAATGTGTGCAGGTGCTGCTCTCTAGTGGCCATAGAGAAAATATTTTACTTTTCTCCTTGTTCTCTTTGTTTATATAAAGCAGTGGGGACCAACCGTTTTGGCAAGTGCCACAAATTAGCCCTGTGATGCCCCAAGTGACACTCCAATCCTTTTCCCCTGCCCGATCTGCTGCTCTGCTTTCTGCTCCCTGCTGTGTGCTCCCTACCTGAGCTCTTGCCCTGCTTGCTTCTCCCTGCCCCTTCCTGGTCTGTTGCATGCCCCACACATGCTGCCTATGTCACTTGTGATACTTGTCCCACATGTTGGCCACTCCTGATATAAACAATTGTAATTGTACTTATTTGTGTAAAATTTTATCATAAAAATAATGTGAAATAAAACAAAGTTGCACTTATACCCCCTCTTGAGCAGAGGTGCAGTACTGCTGGTAACTGGACTGGAATGAGAGCCATGAATGACCATTTAAATGTCCTATTGTGTATGACTGCTGGCATCTCCATTACCACCAGGGGCTTAACGGCGTGAGGGAGACATAAGTGATCAAGCTTTTGTCTAACTCCTGGCCACTTTTCTTAATGTCTGTGGCAGATTATATTTATGGCTCTGTCATTTCTTATTTAACTTAGTGGTATGTAGGTTGGTGGTGTGCTGGTCCTGGGCAATACAGTTTTGGAAACAGAGTAACACAAGGCCATGAGTTGTCTGGTAGTTTATAGCAGTCACAGAAAGAAGAATAAAACGCCCCCATCTGTGAAAGATTACATCCAGAACTAAAGCTGTTTCTTGAAGGGAGATTTTTGTCATAGGTGAGTGATCAGATTTCATCAGGGGCTGTGCTCAAATTTCCTCCATTAAGGATTGTACCAAAATAGTATCTGGTGGAGGTTGTATCTACAGCCCAATTATAAATTTGCAGTTTTGTTATTTGTTTGGGTATTCTAATTTATCCTGAACTTTAGCAAATCAAATGCTCTAGGATGTTCAGAGTGCACTGATGCTGGATAACTGCCTTTGTTTCCTGTTTTGAAACAATGGCTGCTACAGATGGTGCTACTAAATTGGAGAGTCTGCTTTATCTTATTTGGCTCTCAAGTTACAAGGCAAATTCAAGGCTGGTCACAGTGAATCACGATGTTATTCCACGAACTTAAGAATGGGTTATGTTACCTAGGGTTTTGGATTTCCCATTAGCAGCTTCAGCAGATGAGTATTGGTAGCAAGCAATCCATAACAAATTCAAAGAGTATCTTAGATTTGATAGACTTCTTGCTTCTGTATTCTAACTACCTTGTTCAGTCTTGTGTTTTACTGTATAGCTGAAGAATTTTGAAATAGCTACCTATGTCTACTTATGTGACCCATTAAGGTCTTCCTACTACAGTAACAGAAAATTTTGCTAGATTAGAAATCACATAGCCTGTTAACTGGAGATCGACTGTACTGAAAGATCAGACTGGCCAGATTTACTACTTTTTCTCCTTTTCTAGACTTGAGATTTGAATTATTCATGAGTATTCCTGTGTGCAAACTAATACGGTGCTTGGATTTAAAATGGCCGGCTATAACCGAAGAGATCTGTGCTCTTTTCTTTAGGTTCCCCTCTTTGTTCCAGTCTCCTTCACCACCATCTGCCTCTTCACGGTGGGAATGTCTTTCTACTCAGACCCTGTCAGTATCAGCATTGGTTGTGCCATGGTTTTGAGCGGTTTTCCAGTCTACTATTTGGTGGTCCGCAGGCCAATGCCAAAGTGTTGCCATGACCTGTTCTGTGAGTATAGGTTGGATGAAAGGGATAAATAGCATGAAGTATTGAATTTTACTCAGTAGTTGTAAGTTGCTACATATTTGAGGCTGTGCATGCTGCTGTTGAGTTTTTAGCACAATTATCCACATTAATAAAAACCAGAGGTAGATCCAGTCTGTATTGTTTGAATCCAAATTCATAAGTCCCTAAAATTCAAGGATGCTTGGTTGTAGAGTTTTGATGTGGGCCTATCTCTGTGAAAATATAATATAATCTATGCATAGGTAGTTTTTAAAGTCTGAGGAAAGGGTTGGTAGGAAGACAGCTGTAGGCAGACATTGGTGTACTTGTTGGTCATGAAACATCAAGATTTTGTCTTGATAAATTGAAAGATGCCCATATGCATATGTGGCTAGGGATTTTTATATGCAAACAGACAATATTTCAGCCAGCTCTATTTTAATCCTGCATCCTGCTTTCCTCTGCCTTGATGTATTAACAAGTTGGTTGGATTCAGTCCTGTTAACAGCCATTGAAAAGAAGTAGGCCTCCAGTAGGAAAGGCAGTGGAACCTGGTGTTGTTAAAGGTGGACAGTATGAGATAAGATTTCATATTTATTGAAAAAAGTCATTTTGCTACACACAGTACTTCATGTTATAGCACACTTTTCAATGATGTCTAAAGACACTGCCTTGAATTAAGCGTTCTTCCTTTTTTTTTTTTTTTTCTATTCATGTTGCAGATTATCTGACATTCAAACTTCAGGTGCTGCTGGAAGTCATCAAGCAGGAAATCAGAACTTACTGAGAAGAACAACCTGCCTTGCTGGAGATTGTATACACTACAGTGCGTTGTTCAGTAGAATTTGCAAGTCCCATTTCTCAAACTTTAGATTTAAGAGGAGGCATTCTTCATGTTTTAGTCACTGAAGTACAACTAAGTGATCTTCAATTAAAGGAGCACCAAAACTTGGTAACTGGCATCTAGACCTCATTCCTTTTAAGACCATTGGTGCTGCAGAACAAGCAGGAATAAATACTAGAATCTTTTGTCACTTAAATTAGGAAGCTGACTTGGAAGGTCCGAGTAGGAAGATGTGATTTTTATAGAGCTGCTTTGCAGAGAAGAATTGCATTTTAAACTAATCTTGAACTGAAGTTTTTGAGTCAAGACCTGGTCTTTTAAGAAACAGTGAGAATGGTGGAGCACTTGAAAATATATTTTAAATGCAAGCTTGCACATAGGCTTTGAATGAGGGCTACATGCTCATTTTAAGTATTTTTTCTTACTAACATTTAGCAATTTTAGAGCAAAATGAATGTAGCATTTGCAGAACAATGTACTCCACTCAAACCCTAGGAAATGTATTAGCAAGACTTTTAAATAAAGAAAAGTTTTCAGATGTGGTTGAGAATCATTCTTTTTGGTTGAACACTGCCCATTCTCATAGAGAGGAACAGGTTGTCAGGTATAGGGGAGCGAGCTGCACCTCTGACCTCAATCTGAGTGCACCTCCCCTTTGCCCCCCCC